TAATATAAAGGTTATATATTATATCTATATATGTATCTATATCTATAGATATGTAAATATGTCTGTATATTTAATATGTAATATATGTAGATCAAATATATAATCTATTAATATATTAATCTAATATATATTTTTATATATATATTTTAGATCCTACATATAAGAGAGATCATATGGTATTTGTCTTTTGCTATCTGACTTATTTCACTTAGCACGATGCCTCGAGGTCCATCCATGTTGTTGCAAATGTCAAGATTCCATTCTTTTTTATGGCTGAATAGTATTCCATTTTATATATATCCCACAATTTCTTCATCCATTTATCCATCTATGGATATTTGGGTTGTTTCCATATCTTGACTATTGTAAATAATGCTGTACTTAACATGGTGGGGTGCATCTATCTTTTTTTGTTTTTTGCTGAGAAAGACTTGCTCTGAGTTAACATCCGTTGCCAATCTTCCTCTCTTTTTTTTCCCCTCCCCAAATCCCCAATACATAGTTGTATATTCTAGTTGTAAGTCCTTCTAGTTCTTCTATGTGAGCCACCGTCACAGCATGGCTACTGTCAGATGGGTGATGTGGTTCCGTGCCCGGGGAACCAGGCCCAGGCTGCCAAAGCGGAGTGCACTGAACTTTAACTGCTAGGCCATCAGGGCTGGCTTGCATATATCTTTTTGAGTTAGTGTTTTCATGTTCTTTGGATAAATACCCAGAGGTGGAATTGCTGGATCATATGGTAGTTCTATTTTTAATTTTTTGAGCAACCTCCATATTGTTTTCCATAGCGGCTGCACCAATTTATATTCTCACCACCAGTGCACAAGGGTTCTCCTTTCTCCACAAGATACTGTCTTGTAGTTATTTTAATTTGCATTTTTCTGAACGTTTGGAGGAGGCTGAACATCTTTTCGAGTTTAATGACCATTGTACTTTTGTATCCTGAGCTCATGTTTGCAGGAAAGGATACACAGTAAATGGGTGTTGAAAAGATGTGGCATTCTTGTATTTTTTAAAATTTTTTTGTGAGTGGGCCGGCTCCGTGGCTTAGCGGTTAAGTGCGTGCGCTCTGATGCTGGCGGCCCGGGTTCGGATCCTGGGCGCGCCCCGAGGCACCACTTCTCCGTCCAACGTGAGGCCGAGTCCCACGTACAGCAACTAGAAGGATGTGAACCTATGACATACAACTATCTACTGGGGCTTTGGGGGGAAAAACTGAATAAATAAAATCTTTAAAAAAAAAAAAAATTTTTTTGTGAGGAAGATCAGCCCTGAGCTAACGTTCGATGCCAGTCCTCCTCTTTTTTTGCTGAGGCAGATTGGCCCTGGGCTAACATCCGTGCCCATCATCCTCCACTTTATATGGGATGCCGCCACAGCATGGCTTGACAAGTGGTGCGTTGGTGCGCACCCGGTATCTGAACCTGTGAACCCCGGGCCGCGGAAGTGGGGTGCACGCACTTAACCGCTGCGCCACTGGGCCGGCCCCTGTGGCATTCTTGTAGAGGTAGAAAAGTATCCATCCCTGGAATTCTTCCATCTCAGGTCATACAGCCACTTGCTGGAGAGGAGTGGAGGGATTTTCATCTAATGGGGAAACAGAATTTAAAACCTTAACATTTCAGACTATATTTAAGAATTCCTGAAATCTAATGCATTTTGATTTTTCTACACATCAATGATTTTCTTAGCGAAAAAGGTTTTGGGGTGACTATTTTATTTATTTATTTTTTATTTCTGCAGCTTGTAATTGTGCCTTTTAAAAGTTTCCATCTTTCATGGTTTTGACCTGTTATAAGTTTTGATTTTTGGGGGCCGGCCCAGTGGCATAGTGATTAAGTTCACATGCTCTGCTTCAGTGGCCCGGGATTCGCAGGTTCGAATCCTGAGCGTGGACTGACATACCACTCATCAAGCCATGCTGTGGTGGCGTCTCACGTATAAAAAAATAGAGGAAGGAGGGCACAGATGTTAGCCCAGGGCCAATCTTCCTCAGCAAAAAATAATAATAATAATAATAAGTTTTGATTTTGACCCATTTTTGTGACTCCTACAGATTGTGAATGTATCAGCTGGGATTCTTTGGCGTGCAGTTCATAGAACCTCACCCTGAATTGACTTAGGCTGAAAGGGGATGTTAGTGGCTCACATAGCTAAAAGACCCAGGGGGTGTGCAGCTTCAGGCATGGCTGGATCAGTTACTCAGACTTTGTCCTCAGGAATCTCTGTCTCCATTTCTGGGCCCTGCTTTCTTCTGTATTGGCCTCATCGTCAAGGAGCCTATTCCCTCCTGGTGGCAAGATGGCCCCCAGGACCCCAGACCTACATTCTATGAGTTTAGGAACCCCATGGGAAAGAGAAGACCCCTTCTGAGCACACACACTTTTCCAGCAAATGTGGGAAGAGTTTTCATTGGCCTATCTTAAGTCACATGCCATCTCTGACCTAATCCTCATGGCCAGGGTGATTCAGTGTTCTCATTGGCCAGGCCTGAGTCACATGGCCATCCTTGGACCACTGGGTTCCATCAGCCCCTCTGGAAGCGGGAAGAGTTTTCATTGGCCCACCTTAGATCACATGCCGTCTCTTACCCAATCCCTGTGGCCAGGGTGATTTCAGTGTTCTGATTGGTTAAGCTTGGGTCATGTGGTCACCCTTGGACTTCTGGGTTTTATTAGTCCCTCAGGAAGCAGAGGGCCTGAGAGTAGGGTTTGAGGTGCTGTGAAGGGATGGATGTTGGGCAGGCATAACCAACAGCTCTGTACTAGAGACCTTGGAACAAAAGTCTTTACTTGGTTTTTGAGTTTTAAGTTTTGAGTTATAGTCATTTGCTGTAATCTGTTACCACTTAAGTTCATTATTGTTATTTTCTTTTGTAGGTTTCCTCCATCTGTTTATAATCACGCAGAGAATACATAAATCTATTCTTTTGCTAAAAGATCTTACTAACCTAGAAGTCTTCAGTAAAACATAAAGTCCACCTTCAACCCACCTTCCAATCCCACACCCCACAGGGAACCTCGATTATTTGGTGTGCATCCTTCTAGACCATTTATGAATCTACCTATATGGATTTTTAATGTACATTTTATTTTATCTGATTTTCATGTTTAATTTAAATTATTTATAATTTATAAATTTATAATTTTGAATAAATAAGTTTTGTGGTTCAGACATCAAAAACTATATTAAAAATCCTATGAGAAAAGTCTGTCCTTCATCTCTGTCCCCATTCACTGAGTTCTCCTCCCCCCAGTAGGTACCATCTGTTATTAATTCCAGAGAATTTTTATGCATGTGTAAGCCACACAAATACATATTCATATGTATGTTCTAAATAGCTTGTTCCTCTTAACAGTAAGTCTTGGCTGTTATTCCATACTGATGTGGATTTATTTAACCATTTCACTATTGATGGGCTTCAAGGTTGTTTCCAATTATTTTTATTATAAATTCTGCTATGATGATATCCTTGGACAAACATCATTGTGCATATGTGCCAGTATTTCTTTCGATACATTCCTAGAAGGGGAAGTGGAAATGCTGGGTCAAAGCATATGCACATTTTTCATTTTGATGGGACCTGCCAAACTGCCTTCCAAAAACGCTCTACTAATGTACACTACCACCAACAGTGGCTCAGAGTGTGCCCATTTTCCTGCATCTTTGCCAATACTAGATATTATCAATCTTTTACATTTTTGCCAATCTGGTGAATAGAAAAGGATACCTTGTCTTAATTTGTATTTTCCTGCTGATGAGTGAGACTGGCCATCCTTTCGTGCACTTTTTTTTCCTTCTGTCTGTTGTCTATTCACCTGGATGCCTGTTTTTCTTTGGGGCAGGCTTTTTCTTTGCCAATGTTATTCATTTGTGCATTGAACAAATCAAAGTTGAAGGTCTATTACATGCTAGACACTGTTCTAGGCATTTGGGAATACAGAGGTGAATTGACACAGCCCCTGCGCTCAAGAAGCTCACATTCTAGAATCAGGAGACCAATAAAAAACCCACAAGTAAGGACAGAGTTACTGATGGTGGTAAATGCTGTGGGGATGAAGGAAGCAGGATAAAGGAGAATTCTTTGATTGTTCAAGAAAACTAGTTCCTTGTTCTAATAAGTATTAAATATTTTTCCAGTTTGTCATTTGCCTTCTAACTACATCTAGAAATTTTGGTTGATGCAAAAGTGTTTTATGTGGCCAAATTTATAAATCTTTCCCTTTATGGTTTTTATGCTTGGAAAGATTTTCTCCATCCCAGGATTACAAAAGCACTTGCCCAGGTTTTCTTCTAATGCCTTATGGATTTACTTATTCCATTTAAGTCTTTAATCCATCTGGAATTATTTTCAGCATAAAGAGCGAGGAAGGGATCCAGCTAAATTGGTTAGCCAGTTGGCCCACAACCATTCATTGAATAATCCATCTTTTCCTTGGAGATTTCAAAAGGCATCTATAAAATATATGAATTCTCCTGTGTATTTGGGTCTGCTTTTGTGCTTTCTGCCTATCCCTATGGCACATCAACCATGTAAATCACTATAGCTTTGTATTGATAACATTTGGAAAGGTTGGCTCTTTCAACAAATTACCTAACTTCTCTGGGCTTCAGTTTCCTCCTCTGTAAAACAGGGATACCACCAACCTTGAAGGGTTTTTCTGAGAATTAATGAATTAATGGACCACTTTAGTCCCAGGGGTCAGGTAAGCCTCTTTGAGAAGGTGGTATCTGAGCTGAAGTCTAATTGACAAGGAAGAGCATGCCTGGCGGAGGGCATAGCAAGGACAAAGTCCCTGAGGCAGGAACTAGCTTAGTGTGTTGCAGGAGCAATGAGGAGGGCAGCACTGCTGGAGGGGATTGAGCAAGAGGAGAGTGGATGTGGGCCGCGCTGAGGGGTTTGGCTGTCACCATGAGGGTACTGGAGAGCCACAGCAGGATCGGGAGGGAGGGTGGGGCGCGCTGGGTGGGGCGCGCTGACCCTGCCCCTGTTCCCACAGTCGATGGAGTCGCAGGTGGAGGAGTGGTACCGCGAGGTGGGAGAGTTGCAGGCGCAGACGGCGGCGCTGCCGCTGGAGCCGGCGAGCAAGGAGCTGGTGGGCGAGCGGCAGAATGCGGTGGGCGAGCGCCTGGTGCGCCTGCTCGAGCCGTTGCAGGAGCGCCGCCGCCTGCTGCTCGCCTCCAAGGAGCTGCACCAGGTGGCGCACGACCTCGACGACGAGCTGGTGAGGACCGGCCCGGGCATCTGGGGCGCGACCAGCATAATAACCCCGAGGGATGTGCGAGGGTGGGCGGGGCGTGAGGGCAGAGGCGGGCCGGCGGGCCGAGGGGGTGGAGCCTGGGAGCGGGGGCGGGGCCGTGGGACCTGGGCGGGGCCAAGGGTGGAGCCGGCTAAGAGGCTGGGTCATTCACTCCTTCACATTCATTTACTCCCTTCCAGTCACTCATTGCTTTATTCATATAGTCATTTATTCATTGACGTCCTTACTCCCTCCTTCCCAGAATCCAAAGGGGAAAGCAGACTTGTCCCCAGACAGTGACAACTCAGGGTGGTTCGGGCTGTGATGAGGCAGCTTAGGGGGCTGTGGGAGTGCAGAGGCCCAGAGGAGGCAACTGGCCAAGGTCCAAAATCAGGGAGGGTTTCCTGGAGGAGATGGTGTCTGAGCTGGGAGATGGGAAGGGAATTGCAGGAAGCAAAACCTGCCTGGGCAGAGGCTGGAGGTAAGCCTGAGACTGGCTTGCATGCAGAGAGCAAGACAGAGCACGTCCGGAGAGGAGGCCGAAGATGTGAGCAGGCTCTCAGTCAAGGAAGGGCCTCGGCTGCTGTGCACGTGGCTTACAGTTTAGTTGGGATGTAGGGGTCCTTGGCCTGCTCCCAGCATCCTCCCCTTGACCTGCTCCCTGTATCCTCTCCAGGCCTGGGTCCAGGAGCGGCTACCACTGGCCATGCAGACGGAGCGAGGCAGTGGTTTGCAGGCTGTCCAGCAGTACATCAAAAAGAACCAGGTGAGCGGAGCCAGAGCCGAGGAGTGGGTGAGGACACATTTGCACACGAGTGATAGAAAACACTTCAAGGTGGTAAAAGCCAAAAAGGGGAATTTATTGGCCCTTATAATTGAAAAGACTGTGGAGAGCAGATACAGACACATCCAGGTGCTTCCCTGATGTCATGAATCTCTCAGCTCTGTTGTTTTGTGTTTTCTTTTTTCTTATGTTAGCTTTGTTCTCAGGCCAACTCTGCTTTCCTGATAGTAAAAGACCTCCCAAAGATTCAAGTTTACATCCCACCAGCAAAACTGGAGGGAATTTCTCTCTCTCAATAATTTCAGCAATAGTCCCAGGAATAGCTTGAGTTGTGCATGTCCACCCCTGAACTAATCATGGTGGCCAGGGATCTAGACAGCTCTCATTGGCCTGGGCTGGGCTCAGGGCCCACCCTTGGAACCTGCAAGAGAAGTCAGCCTTAATTCAATTACCTGGGCTGAGATAGAGGCAAGGGGGTTCCCCAAAGGAAAACCAGGGTCCTGTGACTAGATGTGAGAGTAATGGCTGTCGGGCAAGGAAAAAGAAAACAAGAACAAACAAGAACTCAAAACACCCACAGGGAGAAAGGGCAGAGATAATTAGCGAACCAGTGACTGCTAAACTTTAGGGGCTTTTGAGCCCCTAAAATCGCTGGATCTCTATTCACCTCTCGGGGCCTCAGTTTCCCCATCTAAATAAGTAGAGAGTTCATCTAGACCAGTGCTTCTCCAATCACTCGGCAGAGGAACCTGTAGGTCAAAGCAACTCCTCCAGCAAAGCCCAAAGTTAGGCACACACAAGAGGACTAATAATAATGATAATAACACATTGGTTAAAAACGTACTGTGTGCCCAGAACGGTCCTGGGGGGTTAAGGTGGTTATTCAATTTAATCCCCACAATCACTCTATGAGGTAGGTGTTGTCATTACCCCGTTTTCCCAAAAAAATGTAAGTTGGGGGAATAGGGCACCGAAGGATGGTGGGGAGGTGGGGACACAAATTATTTTGAAAGGTTCGTGACCGTGCTGCACTAGATGGAGTTCTTGAAGAGGCTGGAGTTTTTCTTAGACTTTGTTTTTCTGTCTTGATGAAAATGCTCTTGGCTGTCGACAGTGTTGGGGACAAATAGAACCGTCATTTTCACGGTTGAGGGAACCGATCATGTGCACTTAATGCTTAAAATTGGGGGGTCTCAGGCGTGCGTGAGAGTGCTGGATACCCAAGGGCTGTTAAACGAATAATAGCAGCTGATATTGATGGAGCGCCTTCTGCATGCTGGGCCCAGTTCTAAGTGCTCCGTGGTACAACCACCCCACAAGGTCGATCTTAGCAGGCACCCATTAGCCCCGTGACTTTGGCGGGTTCCTCAACCTCTCTGACCCTCAGTCTCCTCATCTGTGAAATGAGGAGGATGATGACGTCCGGCTCCTGGGGTCCCAGTGAGGACTAGATGAATGGCTACCTTATGCAAAGCCCTAACTTAGCAAAGTGCCCAGCAGGGGGCAGGCACTCAGTGTCGACTGTTATCATTATCTCCACTCACCAGTTGGGGAAACTGAGGCCCAGGAGAAGTTAACTAAGGTCCTCAGCAAGGACAGAGCTGGTTTCAGGAAGCTTCTGGGGTGATGGGAGTGTTCCGTATCCTGATCTGGGTACGCGAGTGTACACACGTGTAAAAATGTGTCGAGCTGAACCACTAAGATTTGTGCACTTCCTTATATATAAATTATACCCCAGCTGCCCCTAAGCAGCTTGATTCTCAGGCCTGTGTTTCAACTGTTAGGGGGTATCTTGTGTCACCCCGCGTCTCGGTTCAGAGCGCAGTCTCTGCAGCCAGCCTCCTGTGTTCAAATCCTGTCACCCCCTTACTAGCTGCTTGTTCTCAGGCGACTCCCTTCGCCTCTCCATGCCGGTTTTCCCACCTGCAACATGGGCGTATGAGTGAGCGAGTCACCGCAAAATGCTTCCGCGGTACCTGGCACGTTGTGGGCGCTCTGCGGGTGTTTGTCATTCTCTGCTGCGCCTTGCGCATGGCGGGGGCGCACGCGGTCTGGCGCGGCCTCTGAACCCGTCCCCACCCGCACCCCCACCTCCGCCCCCAGGGCCTGCGGCGGGAGATCCAGGCGCACGGGCCGCGCCTGGAGGAGGTGCTGGAGCGCGCGGGCGCGCTGGCCTTGCTGCGCAGCCCCGAGGCGGAGGCCGTGCGCCGCGGCCAGGAGCAGCTGCAGGGCGCCTGGGCCGGCCTGCGGGAGGCGGCCGAGCGGCGGCAGCAGGTGCTGGACGCCGCCTTCCAGGTGGAGCAGTACTACTTCGACGTGGCCGAGGTGGAGGCGTGGCTGGGCGAGCAGGAGCTGCTCATGATGAGTGAGGACAAGGGCAAGGTGCGCCCGGGCTGGGGGCGCCGGGGGGCCTGGGGGCGCTGGAGCCCGGGGCCGGCCGCTGCCGCCTCATCGCGGGCGCCGTGTGCCCCCAGGACGAACAGAGCACCCTGCAGCTGCTCAAGAAGCACCTGCAGCTGGAGCAGGGCGTGGAGAACTACGAGGAAAGCATCGCGCAACTGTCGCGCCAGTGCCGGGCGCTGCTGGAGATGGGGCACCCGGACAGGTGGGTGGGCGGGCGATCGGGGCCGGGTGGGGCGGGGCCGGTTCTGAGAGAGTGGTCCCGAGGCATCTGAAGCTTCGCTGTGGACGTTGGGACAGGGCCAGAACTGGACATTGGGGTGGGAGGGGCCCTCATTGCTGCGTCCTGGAGCCCTCGGATTTTGGCAAGTGGGTGGGGCCGGAATGGAGGGGCACTGCCCAGGGATGCTTGAGAGGGCAAGAACAGGAGCACTGGCATTTGAATCTAGGAGTAGGGGGCGATGTCTGGGACTCAGGTGAGAAGTTAGAGCTCAGGACAGGGGAGGGTCCTCCTCCTACCCAGTGTCTGGGAGGACAGAAAAGCCTGGAGTGTGGTGATTGGGCCTGAGACCTCCTGGGTGGCCTGGCGTGTGGCTTCCCTGAGGTCAGGAGTAGGGGCCACATCTGGGAGGCCTGGACCAGGGCTGAGATCTGAGAGGGGGCCCAGGGCTAGATCTTTGTCACCTTGTGCCTAGAGGTTGGGACTGGAGGTGAGGCAGGTTGGCTGGGGACCCACAGAGGGAGTCCGGAGCCCCACCCAGGTCACTAGAGGGGCGGGGCGTGGGACCATAGGTAAAAAGGCTGGGGCGAGAGTGGGCGGTGAGGTTATCAAGCTCCGAGTTTTCCCTGAGTGCTGAGATGCAAGTACCCAGTTAACTGAACCCCAGACTTGCAGAAAACAGGGTCCTGTCCGAAGGAGTCCAAGGGGCCTCAGCCGTGAGAGGGGGTGTCGGGAGTCACCGCTCTGTCCTGGGAGTCTCAGGGGGCTCCATCCCTGCCCCTGCCTGTCCCCCAGCAGCGAGCAGATCAGCCGGCGCCAGTCTCAGGTGGACCGCCTGTACGTGGCCCTCAAGGAGCTGGGGGAGGAGCGCAGGGTGGGCCTGGAGCAGCAGTACTGGCTGTACCAGCTCAGCCGCCAGGTGGACGAGCTCGAGCACTGGATCGCCGAGAAGGAGGTGGTGGCGGGCTCCCCCGAGCTTGGCCAGGACTTCGAGCACGTCACGGTGAGCATCCTTAGTACCAGCAGTAACACCAGTGGCCACTGCGTATGCTACTGAGGCTCTCTGGGCCTCAGTTTCCCCATCTGTAATATGAGGGTAATAATAGCACCCACCTCATGACTCTGTTGTGAGACAAATGAATTAATATAATGCAAAGCACTTAGGATGGTACTCAGCACACATAGTGCCTAACACAGTAAGTATTCATTATGATTATCTTATTATTTTTATTATTGTGGTTACTATTATTGCTGCAGAGTAAATAAGTGTTAGATATTATTTTTTATTGCTATTGTCATTATTATTGTTACCTGCCACAAGGTGGTAGGTGGGGGGAGTGTGTATTATACAGCCCTTTTGCCCATGCTATGCCCCCACTCCCTGGTGGCAGGTGCTGCAGGAGAAATTCTCCGAGTTCGCCAGCGAGACGGGCACGGCGGGGCGGGAGCGGCTGGCGGCCGTGAACCAGATGGTGGATGAGCTGATAGAGTGTGGCCACACAGCGGCGGCCACCATGGCTGAGTGGAAGGACGGGCTGAACGAGGCCTGGGCCGAGCTGCTGGAGCTGATGGGCACACGGGCCCAGCTGCTGGCTGCCTCCCGGGAGCTGCATAAGTTCTTCAGCGATGCCCGGGAGCTCCAGGGGCAGATCGAGGAGAAGCGGAGGCGACTGCCCCGCCTGACCGCCCCGCCGGAGCCGAGACCCAGTGCCAGCTCCATGCAGCGGACCCTGCGCACCTTTGAACACGACCTGCAGCTCCTCGTGTCCCAGGTGGGGCGCCGGTGGCCAGGAGGGGAGGTGGGAGGCCTAGACAGCGTGGCCGGGGGATGCTGGGCAGCAGAGCAGGCAGAAATCAGGCTGTAGAGAAGGTCGAAATTAGACGGGGGAACAGAGAGAAAACAGACCATGGAACAGGGAGAAATTAGATAACGGGCCGGGTAGGAAATGGACTGATTGCGTGGTGCACACAAGTCAGACAGGGACCAAAAAAGTGGTGCAGTCTGTCTGATAGGAATCAATACTTCCAGGGAAGACTGGGCAGGGGTTCTTCTAGAAACTGCAAAGTGAATGTTACCCAAATCCAGATGGAGAGTCTAAGGGGAATTGCGAGAGGGTTAAGAGAAATTTGGCTGTGGGGCAGATAGAAATTAGCCAGCTGGTCTCTGATAGAAATCATATGATTTTCCTCAAAGGAATTTGAAGGGGGGGACATAATGGAAATGGCAGCAGAGCTAATAGAAATCAGGCATTGGGGCCTGACAGGAATTGGGAGGCGGAACTGAGAAATCAGATGGAAATGAAGCTGTGGGCATAATAGAGCTCAGACAGTGGAACTGAAGGAAATTGGGCTGCGGGTCTGACAGAAGGTAGAAATTGGACAATTATTTCAATATAAGCCATACAGATGACTGTTAGAAGTCAGGCAGAGAGACTGATAGTGATGACCTGGTAGATCTGAGAGAAATCAGGTGGTTGAACCCATAGAGAGTGGGCAGTGGGTCCAATCAAACTCCCACAGCGGAACCAATAGAAATTGGGCAGGAGACCTGAGAGTTATTGAATAGCCATTCTGAAAGAAACTGGGCAGGGGCCGGCCCCATGGCTTAGCCGTTAAGTGAGCGCGCTTCGCTACTGGCGGCCCGGGTTCGGATCCCGGACGCGCACCGACACCCTGCTTCTCCGGCCGTGCTGAGGTGGCGTCCCACATACAGCAACTAGAAGGATGTGCAACTATGACATACAGCTATCTACTGGGGCTTTGGGGAGAAAAAGGAGGAGGATTGGCAATAGATGTTAGCTCAGGGCCGGTCTTCCTCACACACACACAAAAGAAATTGGGAAGTAGGCGGTGGGTCTGAAAAAAACTGAGTGAAAAAAAAGTGGACAGCATGTCTAATAGACATCAGGGTGGATCTTTCCTGAAAGATCGGTCGGCAACAAGACAGAGGTGGGCCTGAAATGAGGTGACAGACCGGGTGGAAACAGAGCTCTCAGACCAAAGTAATCAGGCAGCAGACGTGAGTGAAATATGGTAGTGCATCAAAAGAAGTCAGAAAGTGGGCAAGTCAAAAAGAAATCAGGCCGCACACAAGAGGGAAACCAGTTGTGGGGTCACAAGGGTGCGGGCTCCTGACATCTTGAGGCTCTGCACCCGGCCGGCAGGTGGGGGAAACAGAGGGCGGAGGCTGGACCCCTGGAGGGCTGGTGCTCCACCTGGCGTGCCCCGCAGGTCCGGCAGCTGCAGGAGGGCGCAGCCCAGCTGCGGACGGTGTACGCGGGCGAGCACGCGGAGGCCATCGCCAGCCGGGAGCAGGAGGTGCTGCAGGGCTGGAAGGAGCTGCTGGCAGCCTGCGAGGACGCCCGCCTGCACGTCAGCTCTACGGCCGACGCCCTGCGGTTCCACAGCCAGGCCCGCGACCTGCTCTCCTGGATGGACGGCATCGCCGGCCAGATTGGGGCAGCCGACAAGCCCAGGTGCCCCTCGTCCCACCTCGGGCCTCCTACCTGCCTCTGGGCAGCCACCCCCAGCCCATCAGCAGTTCCCTTGCCATGAGAAATCACAATAGCCCCTACCCGCGTGGCACCTCTCTGTGCCAGGCACTTTTCTGAATGCTGCCTGACAAGGGCGGATTAAGACCCCCTTGTCAGGCCTGGCACTGGGGCTCCGAGCGTGGGGCATCCTCCTGCCTCTGGTCTTCCCAGTTGCCCACTACTGCCCTCCCCGTGGGGGTGTCACAGTGTGAGAGGGGCTGCAGGCAGGATAGGGACAGGGGGGTGTGGGACTGTTTTTGTGGCTTAACCTAGTAGGCTCTGATTTCATGCTCATGTAACGGTTCGATGGGAATGTCCAGCAGAAGCCTGTCCCATGGTGATTGGCAGCCAAGGTCCTTCCTTCCTTTGGCCCTAGGAGTCATTTCCTGGTTCCTCTGCATCCAGATGCAGATGAGAAAAAGAGAGCAGGAGGGTCACATGGGAGCTTTTAGGGACTCACATAGCATTGTTTCTGTGACTGGGGGCCTCGGGCCTGTGTTCATTTACTCAGCAAATATTTATTGAATGCCTGCTGTGTGCCCGATGGTGAGCAGGCCAGCGCCTACCCTGATGCAACTTACATTCTGAGGGTGGAGACAGGCAACAGATAAGTAAACAAACACACACCTAATATTATTTCAGACAGTAGTAAGTGCTCTGAAGAAAAATAAAGCAAGGTAAGGGAACAAGGTGCTAGCTGACAAGGCCTCTCTGAGGATGTAATGTTTGAATGGAGACCTGAATGAAGTGATGGTGAGTTGGGTAAAGTTTTGGGGGAAGAGTTTTCCAGGTGGAGGGATCAGAAAATGCAAAGATCCTGGGGTAGGTTGTAGTTAGGCATGTTTGAGGAAGAGCTAGCTGATCATTGTGGCTGGATGGAGTGAGTGAAGGGGAGAGTGGAGAGTGGCAGGAAATGAGGTTTGAGGGGCAATAGGGCATGGTAAGGAGTTTGCCTTTTCACTGAGTGAGATGGGAGAGTTTAGAGCAGAGGAGTGATGTGATCTGATGGACATTTGAGAAAGATCACTCCGGATGCATTGCGGGAAATAGAGTGTGGAGAGCAAGGTAGACTGGTCAGAAGGCTGCGATAGTCCAGGTGAGAGATGATGGTGGCTTGGCCCAATGTGGTCATGAAGAGATTGGTTTTAGGGATTTAAAAAATCTTTTTATTATGAAAAATTTCAAATATTTACAGGAATAGGAGTAACAGTATAGTGAACCCACATATATATAGTGAACGCTTGGCTTGAATGCCCATGAACATTTGGCCAATCTTGGTTCATCTGTACGTTCCCCCACTGCCCCTCGACCCCTTGCAGAGTTATTTTAAAACAAATCTCAGGTTTCATATCATTTCACAGGGTATGTTTTAAGTTATAAATGTCCAGTCTCGACTGATGGATTAGCTTCAGGGGCTGAGGGAAAGAGGAGTCACGGATGGATAATGGGTGAATTTATTGAGATGGAGAATTTCAGGGGAGGGAATGTTTGGGAGATAGGAGAGAATCAGAAATATCCTTCTAAACATACTGAGTTTTAGGTAGGAATTATTACAATGTGAGACCTTCAGAAATAAGTTTGGACATATTAAATCTTATAAAGCTATACTTGCTGACTGGTGGAACCTTCAGAAATTTGGAATTTGTCTTGGACCTATGACAGGTTAGAACAGTGCTGTCCAATAGTTCTTCAATGCAAGCCACAGATGTGAGCCACATATATAATTTAAGATTTTCTTGTAACCACATTAAAAAAGTAAAAAGAAGCAAGTGAAAATTAATCTTAGTAATTCATTTTATTTTACCCAGTATATCCAAAACATTATCACTTCAACGTGTAGTCAATATTAAAATTATTGAGATTTTTTACATTCTATTTTATACTAAATCTTCAAAATATGGTGTGTACTTTACACTTCAACACCTCTCAATTCAGACTAGCCACATTTCAAGTGCTCAGTTGCCACCATGCCTAGTGGTGACAGGACAGCACAGACTTGGGTTAGAGTCATTGGCTGGTGGAACCTTCAGAAGCATAACTTTAGAAAATTAGAAAAATTGGATCTTGAAATCCTAGGTTAGAATCACAGAAGTGTGACATTTTAGCACCTTGGAAACAGTTGGAACCACTGAATCAGTGAAGAAGGTTGGACCCTCAGATTGGTCATAGGAGGTGGGTGTCCCGAGATGATGTGGAGCGCCAGCCTCAGGGTGTTGGTTCATTAGGCGCTGTGTATATGGGGCAGGCCAAGGGAGGCTGCCCATGGCTCAGATCCCTGCCCGCCGCCAACTGTAGGGACGTGTCGTCGGTGGAGTTGCTCATGAACTACCACCAGGGCCTGAAGACCGAGCTGGAGGCGAGGATGCCCGAGCTGACGGCCTGCCAGGAGCTGGGGCGCTCTCTGCTGCTCAACAAGAGCGCCATGGCGGATGAGGTGGGGAGGGGCAAAGGGGTCCCCCTCCGCCCTCCGTGCCCCTTGGGGTGGGAACCACCCCTGATGCCTCCCCACCCACCCGCCACTCCCAGATCCAGGCACAGCTGGACAAGCTGGGAACCAGGAAGGAGGAGGTGTCAGACAAGTGGGACCGCCATTGGGAGTGGCTGCAGCAGAGTGAGTGGGGGCCCAGACACACAGCGCTCAAGGGCACAGGCACATGGTCCAGCATGATCGGAAGGGCCCAGAGGGTGACAAAGGCATGCACACCACTCACGGGTCCCCAGGAGCAAACACGAAGGCCTGGGAGGGTGGACAAGGGGGTTCCCTTGCCATTGAATCCCTGGTGGCAGACACCTAGGGGAGAAGCTGGTGCCCTCACACACAGCCCCAGCCCCTCATTCCCGCAGAGCCCAGAGTAGTCAGGGCTGGGGTGGGGTGGAAGGCCAGAGAAAACAGCCACTGCCCGGTGAAGGGCCCACAGGTGCCCCCAGCGCCCCTACCCCACGTGTCTCCCTTCAGTGCTGGAGGTGCACCAGTTTGCCCAGGAGGCAGTGGTGGCCGATGCCTGGCTGACAGCCCAGGAGCCGCTCCTGCAGAGCCGGGAGCTGGGCAGCAGTGTGGACGAGGTGGAGCAGCTGATCCGGCGCCACGAGGCCTTCCGCAAAGCGGCTGCAGCCTGGGAAGAAAGGTTCAGCTCTCTGCGGCGCCTCACCACGGTCAGCACCCCATATCCTGCCCCAGGCACCCCCTATCCCTGCCCCGGGGCCCCACACCCATCCCTCTATATGAGACTGACACACGTGCTGGGTGCCCAGCACTGTGTTGAGTGAGGCTGAGACAGACCCTCACTGGCTTCCCAGTTCAGTGGGGTAGGGGGTCGGGGAGCAGAGGACAGACCTGTCACCAGACAGTGACAGCCCAGAGTGGCCGGGGCTGGGATAGAGGAAGCACAGGGGGCTGTGAGAGCCCAGAAGCCTTGTCCTGGCCTGGGGGACTCTGATCTGAGTCAGTAATAAAAAGTCTTAAGGCCCCGGTTGGGGGGACATTAAGGAAGGAAGTGATGTGAGTCAGGAAGGCACCTGGAGAAGGTGATGCTACAGCCCGTTCTTAAAAGAACACTGGGTGTTTGCCGGAGAAAAGAGGAATTAAGTTTCGACAGAGAGCAAAGCATGGGCGCGGGCCTGGACAACCTTGCTTTTTCGCTAATAAAAGCTAATAAACCGAGTGGTGAGGCAGACAACCCAGAGCCGCCCGCCGCCCTTCCATCTGACCCTGGCTCCTCCGTCCCCAGATAGAGAAGCTGAAGGCGGAACAGAGCAAGCAGCCGCCCACCCCGCTGCTGGGGCGCAAGTTCTTTGGGGACCCCACGGAACTGGCGGCCAAGGCGGCGCCCCTGCTGCGGCCAGGGGGCTACGAGAGGGGCTTGGAGCCCCTGGCCCGCCGGGCCTCGGACACGCTGTCGGCGGAGGTGCGGACCCGGGTGGGCTACGTGCGCCAGGAGCTCAAGCCCGAGCGCCTCCAGCCGCGCATCGACCGGCTGCCGGAGGTCCCGGGTGGGGTGGAGCCCCCGGCCCCGCCGGCCGCATCCGAGGACGCGGCGGAGATCCCCGGGGCCCCCGCGGCGGCAGAGCAGGTCCGGCCGCGGCCGGAGCGCCAGGAGTCAGCCGATCGCGCGGAGGAGCTGCCTAGGAGGCGGCGGCCGGAGCGCCAGGAATCGGCTGATCAATCTGAGGAGGCTGCGCGGAGGCGGCGGCCAGAGCGGCAGGAGTCGGCGGAGCACGAGGCGGCGCACAGCCTTACCCTGGGCCGCTACGAGCAGATGGAGCGGCGGCGCGAGCGGCGCGAGCGGCGGTTGGAGCGGCAGGAGTCCAGCGAACAGGAGATGCCCACCAGAGGAGACCTGGCCAAGGGGTGAGGCCCCATGTGGCCGGGGAGAGAGGGAAGGGGGACATGGGGCGCTCTTAGAGTCGCGCAGGCCCAGTGAGAGGGCTTCGGGGCTCAGAACTGCCTAAGGAGGGCGATTCCGTCGTGGTAACCATTTCGCAGAGATGTAAACTGAGGCTGAAAGAGGGTAGGCGACCCGCCCTTGTCCCACAGCGGCAGTTCTGTTGAAGGAAAGGGCAGAGAGCCTTCCTCAAGGTGCGGGTTCTCAGCTACTGAGTTCTGACCCCTGCATCAAATCCCCTGGGTGGCCCTGGGCAGGAATTTTGTCCTCTCTGCACCTCAGTTTCTCCACTGGGCTAACGGTGGGACCATCACCTCCCTGATTAGAGATAAGACCCTTTATCACAATCTTTCTCAACAGCCTTATAAAGTGAGGGCTGTTGTCATCTCCATTTTATAGAGGGGGCAACTGGGGATCAGAGAGGGCACGTCACTCGGCTTGGATGAACCAGGACTGGCATACAGGCCTTTCAGAATCCAGAGTTAACCAGTGTGTGGTACAGATTAATCCAGTTAGCTGCATCCCCAGAAAGAGGCCTTTGGTCAAATATGTTTCGGAGACAGTGATTTCCTGACCCTTTTTAACTCCGTATTTCATGAACATTGGCTGAGTGCCCACTGTGTGTGTGATACGTGCTGGGGAGAGCAGTGACCCAACCAGCCCGAGCCCTGCTTTCACGGGGCTCACAGTCCAGTGGGGAAATAGACTTGTCACCGGACAGTGATGACCCAGAATGATCAGGGCAAGATGGGTGAAGTCCAGGGGGCTTGGGAGCGCAGGGGCTGGGTGGAGAAAGGCAACTGCATGCTCAAAGGCTTGAAGGCACCACTCTGCGTTTGCTTTGTACTGCTTAAAACTCAAAAAGGGAGGTCCCATCCTCCATTCAGCAGACACGTCGGAGCACCTGTGGTTCATAAGGCAAACATCTGAGGCAGGCAGCTGCAGGCGTGGACAAGGGCCAGGCATCTCAGGCTGAAGTGGAGGCTCCTCCAGCCAGCCAGGCTCATCCCTGGGAGAAGGCGCCCCAGCTCCATTGGGTCTTTCTGCTCCCCTCCCTGCCCCACCCCAGGAAAGCCACCCTGGCTGACATTGTGGAGCAGCTGCAAGAGAAAGAGGCAGGCCCAGGGCTCCCTGTTGGGGTAAGTTGAGCCTCAGCATGGGTGGGGGTAGGGGGATTCCTCTCCTCAGAGCAGGAGTCAGGATCCCAGCAACACCAGTGCCTAGCCCTGCCCCACCCCCCATCTGGACGCTGCAGGGAGACTCTCAGGGGATGGAGAGGGCCCCTGGGCGCCCCCCCAATCTGAAAATGTCTCCCTTAGAAAGATGAGGTCACCAACCTAAGAGACTCGTACCCCCCTCCACACACACAGACATCTGTCCTGGACTCTTTTTCCAGTCCAGTGGGAGTCTCAAATTTCCTTACAGACAGCCACACACACACAGATTCCTCATACAGACAGCTGGGACACCCACCTGCTGCACCCCCACCTCCATAGGTCTGCCCCCTCCTCCCCAAGATGGAGAGGGATTCCAACCTAGGAGTCTTGACAGACTCACTTCCAAGACCCATGGGGCCCCTAAGAGTTGGGCCTACAGCCCTGAGGTCCTCCCATCTTCGCCTCCAAGACAGATGACCCTGCAGACAGATGGGCCCCCTAGACCCACGAGTTCCCCCAGACAGATGGCCCCACACCCAACTATGGACAGCACCCCTCTCCCCCCTCCCTTCACACAGCCGTCGCTGCCTCAGCCTCGCGAGCTTCCCCCTGGCCGCCTGCCCAACGGGCTTGAGCCGCCCGAGCGGACACCTCGGCCGGACCGGCCGCGGGCGCGGGACCGGCCCAAGCCGCGACGGCGGCCGCGGCCGCGAGAGGGTGGTGAGGGCGGGGGAAGCCGGCGCTCGCGCTCCGCCCCGGCCCAGGGCGGCTCCGCCCCCGCGCCTCCGCCACCGCCCACTCACACAGTGCAGCACGAGGGCTTCCTGCTGCGCAAGCGCGAGCTCGACGCTAACCGCAAGTCGTCCAACCGGTGAGCGTGTGGGCGGGGCTTTGGAAGGCGGGTCCCAAGCTCAGAGTGTCCAATGAGTGGATAGGTGGGCCTGCGGAGGGGAGGTGGGGCTAAGCTTCAGGGCGTCCAACCGGTGGCGGGAGTGGGCGGGGACCTTAAGAGGGGTGGGACTTAACTTCAAGTAATCAACCAATGAACAGGAGGGGCGGGGCCTATGTTTAGGGTGTCCAGTGGGCGAGTGGGTGGAGCTTAGACGGGGGCGGCACCTGAAGAAAATGTTCAGAACGTAAAGAAGTAGATAGCCAATCTCATGGCAACCAACCCAGGAGCTAACAGCAAACTGGAAGTGGGGTCCAGTCTAAGGGGTTCCAATGGTTTGTGAAGTTAAGCCTGGAGAGGTCATCCAACCAATGAGTGGGGTAGATGCACCCCCGAAGTTTCAAATTGGGGGCGGGTCTGAAAAGGGGAGGATCCCAAACTCGGAGGGCTAGGGGTGTGGGAGGCACCTCACCTAGGTTTCCAAATGGGAGCCTAACGGCGATGCATCTAATCTTGAAGTCCAGCTCCTGGTTGTCCAACGCTTATTTGTCCAACTGGGAGGCAGAATCTGGGGAGAGGTGGAGCCGAAAGGGGAAGCGCTGGCCAATGAGCAGAGTGAGGCCCAGACCCGAGACGTGAAATGGGCAGAAAAGGAGATTCTCCGTGGGGTCTGGAGGTAGTCTTTCTTCCTTGTGCGGAGGCCAAGGTGGAAATAAACGGGCACCTCGGTGTCTTTCGTTCTTGAGACACCTCCTGGCTCGGCTGGGCCTTTGGCTGAATAGGGAGACAGGAATTCTAGACAGTAGACCAATAGATCTCTCTGCAGGGATTACGTGGCTGATGGAGGAGTGGCGAAGAGCATGCCCAAGCAAAGGCTTATGGAGGAGACAGCTTAACTCTTGCCTTCAGGAAATTCAGTTAGGGAGGGGATAAGGGAGGGCAGCCCCAGCAGGGGCCAGCCTAGCCAAAGGCTTGGTAGTGGGAGACTTAGACCCGCCTCTCAGCTCAGGACCAGCCATAAGGAACAGCACCCCAGGCAAATGGCCCAACCAGGGCAAAGGCCCAGAAGGAGGAAGATCAGGCATGCTCAGCCCAGGAAGGGTATTAATGAAGAGTACCCAGGCAGAGTGCTGAGACTCTGCCTTGAGCCCCTCTCATCGCCCCAGGTCGTGGGTGAGCCTGTACTGCGTGCTCAGCAAGGGGGAGCTGGGCTTCTACAAGGACGCCAAGGGCCCGGCATCTGGGGGCACACATGGTGGGGAGCCACTGCTCAGCCTGCACAAAGCCACCAGCGAGGTGGCTAGTGACTACAAGAAAAAGAAGCACGTCTTCAAGCTTCAGTGAGCCCCCCAATGGGCGAGAGGGAGGGATCCGAGACCCGGCTCCCCCCTCCCAGCAATACCCTGCTCCCCTGGAGGACAGGTGGTGGACGGGTGGGCCACAGGGGACCCTGCCCCAGATCCCCCAAGTCCTGTGTCCCCTCCTACAGGACCCAGGATGGCAGCGAGTTTTTGCTCCAGGCTAAAGATGAGGTGAGATCTGGTCCTTTCTGTCCCGTGTTCGGACCTCAGAAACCACCTGGCTGGCTGGTTCCTGGCCCAGCGTGATGGTGAAGCACAAACCAGAGTTACCAGGGCTGTAATGGGAAAACCTGTGGGCAGTGAGAGCCCAGAAGCAGTTCCTAACCTCGCTAGGGGGCTGGGGGTGGTTGGAGGTGGAGGATCAGGAGGGCTGCCTGGAGGCCCCAGGGCAAAGTCTAGCCTCCTTGCCTTAAGAGAGTTAGCTAAAAAAAAAAAAAAAAGATGAGACGCTTAGAGGGAACTGGAAGTGCAAAGAACCAGAGGTGCAGAATTGCAGAGCATTAACGGCGCTGGAGAAGAGTTCAAGGAGGAAGGTTCCCAGGGGCTAGATCTCAAACGGCATTGTGGGCCATTTGGAAGAGGTTGGAATTTGTCCTAAGGGTACTGGGGAGCCATGGCAGTTTTGAGCAAGGGAGGGTTATAGTGATGCATAAGAAAGATCCCTTTGGCTACCATATGCAGGGTGGATTGGAGAGGGTGAGAGTGGAGGTGGGGAGCCCAGGAGGCGACCAGGACAGGGACCCAAGTGGGAGAGCACAAGGCTGGACCAGGGCAGGCCTGTGGGGAGGGGAGGTGGAGGGGGGTGAGAGAGACAGGAATGTCAGTGGACCTTGGGACTGGGGCTAAGCAGAGAGGAGGAGCAGGCATGGAGGTGGTTTGAAGAGATGTTGAAAATAATACCATTTGTTATCTCATTCATCCTCACAAAGCAGGCTTTTATTCTCTCCATGCCTCCTCTACTTATCTTTAAAATGGAGATAAAAATAGTTTTCCGTCAACCCCATAGAGTTATTGTGAGAATTAAATAAGTTGATATATGCAGAGTCCTTACAGGGCCTGGAAAATGTCAGTGCTCTATAAGTGTCTGCTGATATTATTATTGTTTTTTATTGTTGTTTATCCCTACAGTGGGAATTAGAGATAATCCTATTGCATAGTATTAAGTGGATTAATCCACAAAAGTGCTTAGAACAGAGCCTGGCACATAAGTGCTATGTAACTGTTTCCATCATCATCATTATTATTATTATACTATTTAATAGATGAAGAAACTGAAGTTCAGAGAGGGGAGTCTGATTCCAGACTCATCTATGACTCGATCTCCTCTCTTCCAAATACGGACTTTGTGCCCTGTTTCTCTCTCCAGGAGGAGATGAACGGCTGGCTGGAGGCTGTGGCGGCCTCGGTGGGGGAACACGCCGAGATCGCCCGCTGGGGCCAGACACTACCCACCACGTCGTCCACAGACGAGGGCAACCCCAAGCGGGAAGCGGGGGAGCGCAGGGCCAGCGGGCGCCGGAAGTGACTTCCCACCCCTGGAGCCTGACACACCTCCCCGCCCCGCCTCTCCGCACTGTGTGCACACAGACACTTTCTCTTCCGCAGGGGCGGGAGCCCCTAGTTGCACCAACGCTGCGGACGCGCTATGACGGGCACTGGAAAGGAGGGGACTTCTCCTGAACCCCAAGAAGTGATGGGGGCACTGCTGCTCCTATAGCCATATCTCGGCCCCATCCCGCTCGCCACCCCCACCCCCACCCCAGGTGCTGGGGCTCCATTATTTTTATGCAATAACTGAGCTTGGGGGAGGCGGGTAAGGGGCCAGTTGAGCCAAGCCCCCTGCCCCGATCCCCAGATCCTGCCCCCAGAAGCTGGGGTGGCGGGGGCGATAATTCCTGCCCCCCTCTCCGCCCTAGGGATGGGCATGGGGGCGCTTGTGAGGTCCCCTGGACCATCCAGGGTGCTAGGGGGTGGGGAGGGGACGCCCCCTTCCCGCCTTTACCTCACTTCCAATGCTGCCTTGATCTCTGTCTGGGAAGGGGGAGTGAAGGGGTCCTAGCCCCCGCACTCCGCCGTCTCAGAGCCATGCGGTTAATTCCTGACAGTTTATTTTTGCAAAACGTCGACCTCCTCCTCCCCTGCCCCGCATCCGCGAAGGCTTTTAATGGGAGGGGCGTCAAAGCTCAAAACAGTCTTCCTCTCTCCTCCCCCCTCCAGCTATAGAAGGCACTTCGTGAGGGGAGGGGCGAGGGGAAGCCCTCCCCTGCATGCTTCTGGCTGGAACACCTCCCTGGGGAGTGGGGGAACCGGGTTCTGGAGAAGCCTGGAGAAGCCGCTGGGGCTGGGGGCTGTGGGGCGGTGTGGCAGGCGCACACTGTATGTACCTATAATAAATCCTTCGGCTTTGACGGTCTACGCTGGTTTGTTCGCGTTTCATGGGCTGCGCTCGTGAGGATGGGGACAGTGGGGGGAGGGGAGGGGACTGTGGCTGCGGAAAACATTTAGATGTCCCCTTAGATGTGGACTAATTTCAGGGTCTAAACACATGCCCCCGACGAAGCACCTAGATGCCATTCCTAAAATGGGAACCCCATAGGGGTGGAAGAATGTTTTGCCATCTCTCGTAACCTAACTTCCCCAAACGAGCCGCCGGGTCCGTCCCGTCCAAGACAGGAAAGGCGGGCCCCTTTAAGGAGGCGGAGAATTTAACTGTGACGGGTGAGCGCTTTGTCCAATCGCCGGCGGCTCCGAGACTCTCTGGCCCAATGGGCACGCGGGGGGGCGGGATCTGGTTGCACACCCGGAAGCTGCTGCAGGCAGGCCGGCTCCTCCGGGGGCCATGGCAGCCGTGGCGCCTGTAGCCGAGGGGGTCCCAGGTCGAGGGCCTCCTGGGGAGGTGATTCATCTGAACGTGGGAGGCAAGAGGTGAGTGGAGGAGATTCCTGAGGCCCCACCGTCGGAGGCGGGGAGCGGAGTGGGAATACCCGCCTCTCCTGGGGGGAATCCCTGTCCATCAAGGATTGCTCCGCCCCCTGCTGGAGCAGCGAGAGCCTGGACCAGCGTCCCAGGAGGGAAGGGAATTCGCCCCGTCCTGGTATAGAGGGCTGCATTCCTCACCCTCTCTCCATCATCCCGCGTCCGCTCACCTTCCCCGCACAGATTCAGTACCTCTCGCCAGACGCTCACCTGGATCCCAGATTCCTTCTTCTCCAGGTGAGTGGGAGAGCGAGTTTGGGGCGGGGGTTGAGGGGTGGGAGAGGAGGGTTTGGGGAGATCTAATCCCCAACCCCACCCCACCCGCACACACACACCCCAGCCCATGACACCTGCCCTGCGTCCCCTCCTTGCAGTCTTCTGAGCGGGCGCATCTCGACGCTGAAAGATGAGACCGGAGCCGTGAGTAGGGCAAGAGCTGAAATGGGGCGGCCGGTAGGAGGAGGGACAGGACCCCCACTCAGCCCCGCTCTTTGTCCCATCCATCCTCTGCCCCTCTTCCCCGCAGATCTTCATCGACAGGGACCCCACTGTCTTCGCCCCCATCCTCAACTTCCTGCGCACCAAAGAGTTGGACCCCAGGTTGGCATGGAGGAAAAAGGGGAGTCCCCAACCGACTTCACCCACTGAGAAATCTCTTCTTCCCCTCAGAATGTTCACTTAGGCTGCTTGATCATATTTAAATTCTGTGTCCTTAGAATTCCTCTCAAACACACGCACATTTTCACTGCCCATATCATCTCTTCTTAGAATCTTGATCCCGTCAAAATTTGCTAACTCTTGTGATTCGCTGTGCAGCTTCGAAAACTTTCTCCTCAGAATTCTCTGCCCACTCCCACTCCCCAGACCCTGACCCCTAGTCAATTCTACTACCCAGGGGTGTCCACGGTTCCAGCCTCCTCCACGAAGCCCAGTTCTACGGGCTCACTCCTCTGGGTAAGTGGGGGCCCCATTAGCATCCTCACTGCGTAGAAAACCAGCTCTCTAGTGATCCTCCCTCTTCCCCCTCTTTCCTGAAAGAAGGTTGGGTTAGAGCTGGAGAGCGCTGGATGTGGTCCTGGGTCCCAGGGGAGTGATGGTATTATTCTGTGGAGAAAGAGATGGGGTGGGGAGGAAAGGGATGGGCTTCTGTACCCGGCAAATCCCAGCCTTCGAGTCCTTCCGCCTTAGTTCGGCGTCTGCAGCTGCGGGAGGAGTTGGATCGATCTTCTTGCGGAAATGTCCTCTTCAACGGTTACCTGCCTCCACCAGGTGGGCACTACTAAGGGGTAGAGGAGAGGGATGGTGGACCAGTGGCTACATTTCCCATAAGGCCGCAGCCCTGAGACAGCGTGCGAGTTGTAGTTCTTTATCAGATACTTGGACTGATGCTTGGAAAGGGAAGTAGGAAACAACATTTCCAGTGAGGCAATTGGCCTGCTAGCTCCCTTGAGGCTCAGATGCATGCCCTAGAGCCCGATGGCAGTTGTAATCCAGGTTTGATTTCCTTGTGGGGAAGCTTAGAAAGAACTGTGATCCTTTGCATGGAGGCAAGAAATATTAAAGAAGAATTACTGACTATAATCTCCATGAGACCTTGGAGCAGCCCTCCCACTGGCCATGGATAATATGCCCCAGTGGCTATTGGGAATTGTAGTCCACTAGGCTTTGCTGATTGGTAGAAGGAACAGAGCGGGGAAATTCAGTTTATGGCTTTATTTCCCTAACCTCAACTACCTTCGTGAAGTTTGCCGAATATGAACACCTACTCTATTGTTTTCTTAACTTAGTTTTACCCTCTTTTTTTAAAAAAAAAATCATTTTAAATAGAAGCTTTATATCACTACCTTTATACCATAAATAAATAAAAATAAAACCCACACATCACAGTGTTATTAAACTCTGGCTGGATGCTGTTGCCTGACAAGGGGACAGGCATCTGTTTCTTAAAAGAGAAGATTAGCAAATATGAAAGAGGTATCAATGTTATGGCAGCACCAAACTGGTTCTTCCTTTGTGATGGGCTCAAAGGAACTGAAAAGGGAGTAACCCATTGTGTGATTCAGTGTCATTTAATGCCATGTCCCCGTACCACCTCAAATCTTTTTGCCAGGAGACTGTGCTCCACATGTGGGGAAGTCAGTATGTGGCATACTTTTAGTGCTTGCTACATGGCAATTATTACAATTATTGTCACTCTACCCCTCCTCCCTGCCAGTGTTCCCGGTGAAGCGGCGGACCCGGCACAGCATGGTGGGGCCCCAGCAGGCAGGGGGACGCCCAGCCCCTGTTCGGCGGAGCAACACGATGCCCCCCAACCTGGGCAATGCAGGGCTGCTGGGTCGAATGCTGGATGAGAAAGCCCCTCCCTCCCCATCGGGTACGTATCTGTCTCCTGGGAGGCTGGGGTGGCCAGTGGGGCCCTGTGACCCTGCTCTGAGCCCTGCTCTCCCCCTCAAGGATTACCAGAGGAGCCAGGGATGGTGCGGCTGGTGTGTGGACACCACAACTGGATCGCCGTGGCCTATACCCAGTTTCTTGTCTGCTATAGGTGCTCGGGGAGGGTGGTGGTGGGAGGCTTGAGCCCTGCTGATGGGAAGGGCTTGGGTGAGGGTTCACGATGTCCCCCCCATCCTCCAGGCTGAAGGAAGCCTCTGGCTGGCAGCTGGTGTTTTCTAGTCCCCGCCTGGACTGGCCCATCGAGCGACTGGCGCTCACAGCCCGGGTGCTCGGTGGGGCTTTGGGTGAACATGACAAGATGGTGGCAGCAGCCACGGGCAGCGAGATCCTGCTGTGGGCTCTGCAGGCAGAAGGTGGTGGCTCCGAGATAGGTATGGCCCCAGGCTTTTTCCAGAACCCTCTGCCCTTTAGAATTCTACTCCAACCTGCCATCTGTTAAAACTCTCTACCCCCATTAGAATTCTGTGGCCTGTTAAAATAACCCACCCTGTATAATTCTCAGACCCATAAGAATTCTTTTTGTTATTAGAATGCTCCAACCCTTTAGAATTCCGTATCCTGGTAGAATTCCTTGGCCTGGTAGAGAAATCCACCCACATACAATCCTCTCCTCCGTGAGAATTTACTGCCATGTTAGATCTCTTTGCTTTGTTAGAATTCTCCATGCGAGTAGAATCTCAGAGCCTGTTAGAATCTGCATTCCCATTAGAAATCTCTGACTTTTAGACTAATCTGTGCCCTAACAAATCTCGATCCTCATGAGAATCTTCTGCCACTGATAGAGTTGTTTGCTGTGTTAAAAATCTCAACTGTGTTAGAATCCCACACCCTGTTAGAATCCCACACCCCATCAGGAATCTGGCCCATTGTATCCTCTGTAATTCCTGCTGGAATCCTCTATCCTGTGAAGATTCTGTGGCCCAACTGAATCCTCTGGCCCTTGGAGTTCTTCCTGCCACCCCTCTTTCCCCCATGAAATGGGATCCTGGCTGAGCACTCCTTGCCCTCTGCAGGAGTCTTCCATCTGGGGGTGCCCGTGGAGGCCTTATTCTTCGTTGGGAACCAGCTCATCGCAACAAGCCACACAGGGCGCATCGGGGTGTGGAATGCTGTCACCAAGCACTGGCAGGTCAGAGGGCCGGCCAGCCTGGCTGCCCGTTTCCCGGGTGTCCAGACTGTACAGACACAGGGAGGGGTTCCTTTCTGCCCCACTCTACCTGGAGCGAGCCAGAGAACCCAGCAGTGGGCACATCCTGGGGGTGGGGGTGGGGTTGATAAAGGCCTCGAGAGCATCAGGGAGGCCTTTCTGGAAGAGGGGCTGCCAAGCTGATGTGAAGGATGGTTGGGTTTGGAAAGGAGGCACTGGATGGGGGAGCAGGTGAGGAGAGATTGTGTAAGAGGCAGAAACCCAAAGATAGATGCTCAAACATCTGTCATTCTCTCTGCACCCACCCCAAGTCATGTCCAAAATGTAAAAAAAAATACACCTACGATGTCATTTTCTCCTGCTAAAGTGTGAGTGTTGGAGAGAGAGAGACAGACAAGCTGAGAAAGGAGAGAAAGAGATAGAGAAACAGATCATGGAAACAGAGGAGGAGGCGACAGAGAAGGCTGGACAGAGAGAAACCAGGACTGAATGACTGTGGTAGATGAAGGGATGCAGAGAGAGAGATGGAGATGAATAGAGAAATGTCAAAAATAGAGTCAAGGAGAGGCCAAGAGACAGAAGCATCAACCAAGAGACATTCAGAGACAGAGACACAGATGGAGCTGGGCCTGGGGTAGGCGAGGCTGGAGAGAAGTGGGCCTAGAAACCCCAGGAGGGTTCAGGAGCGGGGCAGAGAGGGCATGCTGTGAGGGGGCACTGTGGAGACAAAGGTAGGGAGGGCCACAGGCTGTCCTGCCCTGCCCCCAGGTCCAGGAGGTGCAGCC